CTCTGCCTGGCTTTCTCAAGGACCAGGATGTGACACAAACATCTGAATTATGGAACTGAAAGTGAAAGTAGTCAAACTGAAGTTTTAATTAACCAAAATACAGTTTCAAAGCAAATTAATTCAGATACAAATCTTTAAATTCAGTTTCAAACCAATGCATTCTATTTCAAATTCTGCACATTCAGATTCAGTTCCTGCTGGAACAAGATTGATCCCATATAACCTGGGCAGCGCCAGGTCACATTTGGACCCTGGGTGGTTTTTTAAACTCAGTTTAAAGGGACAGTCCTGCCGTCTTTGACAGGAAGTCCTCTCCTCCTCAGCTGACATTCATTGTGAAGCATGGATGATGGAGAACGGGCTGAACGTCTGCCAGGCTAGTTTTTGATAAAAGCGTGCAGCGCAGACCACCTTCTGTTGTTGGCGTTGGACCAGGGGTCTTTCTGGGTGGAGTTTGCACSTCTTCCTTGTGTTTGCACGGTATTTTACATCCCACAGTGTAAACGTGCACGTTTTAAGAATGGATCAGTTTGGATGACGACACGATTATTCTTGATATCAATACGATTTCACTTTAATTCATAAGTCTGTGATCAATATGAAGCAATATCATATTGTGTTATATATGATGACGAAATGGAGCAATGCTTTTGTTTTGCTTTGATGCAGCTGAATAATTAATCAATTAATTGATATATTTATGTGGATAAACGTGTTGTTGCACCCCTACTTCATATAAAGCCGAACTGAATGATTTAAATGTGAAAAAGAAGGATTTAAAGCAGGATATCTTTGATCTGAGTGGGTTTTGTCTGCTTAAAGAAAAGAAATAGCTTTTATTTTTGCCAGATGACACTGGTCAACAGTCTGTGACGCTGTTTTCCTGTTTGTCTGCAGGATGCTCTGTGTCCTGACGAACATATCTGAGGCCGAGGCAGCTAGGGGGAAGTGTAGTTTTAATTTCTCAGAGGCACAGCTGCTGTGGAAGTGGAAATAATTTCAGAAATGTGTCCTGCTGTTGACTGAAAACATGAGGAAGTTTCTGGTTATCCCACTTCTTTTTTTTTGTGTTTTTTTTTTCTCTTCAGTTATAATAAGTGATGCCCTATCACCCATAAATAGTCTTTTTTTACAACTAAAAACCAGTCCAGCTTCATAAAAAGAGGGGATTAGCTGCCTGCAGAGTGTTTGTTCTGTAAAATCTGTATGAATAGTGGAAGAACTTTGGACTGCAGGGCGAACATGTGACCGCTTTGCTAAAAGAAAGTCTTTTTACCAGATCTGCCYGAGGCCTTCAGACTAAAGAAGACCACTTTTCGACCCCCCTCAGTACGAAGTTTTGAACCTGCAGCGAACAGTGTGAGACGTGGGGACAAACGTTTCTTATCTTCTGGATGAGAAACAGCACGTCGGTCACAACTAGTTTCCTTTTCGCCAAATGCAGTAAATCTACAGGAATCTGCAGCTGCTGTTGAACCTAATCAGCARGATTGTAGAGAGTTTTAAAAGTGCCAGCGGAGCAGAAACACAACTGCTGCTTTGCTTCTTGCTCATCTCCTGCTACATGTAGGCCTTTGAGATGGRAACACACAACGTTCGGCTACTGCTACAGCAAATGTTAGCTCAGTGATTTAAAAACAAACGCTACAGCTTCTTTATTAGCCGTGGCTAATAAGCTGAAGCTAATGTGAACACAAACATTTGGCTTCTTGTTTTGGCAGCAGTCATATTTTCATTTCTGGTCAATGTTGTCTTTTTAATGTCTGATACATTTCACGTCTCATTTTTTTTACTTTATTGAAATATGAGTCAGAACAAGGACAAACAAGTAAATAATGAGTGTAGCAGTGATACAAAAGTAATACAAAACAATATACAGGGTTCCCACGGTCCCTTAAAAACTCTTAAAAGGCATTGAATTCATCAATCCAAAATTAAGGCCTTAATTAGCCTTAAAATGACTTAATCTTTCAGAGGCCTTAAAAATGTTAACACATTGTAAATAGGATGACTGTATTTGTCTCAAATCTTAAAATAATTGGTAACTTTTAATTTTTTTAAACAATTTACCAAATTTACCGCAGCTTGTTT